CATTTCATTTTGTTACTGTATTTTAATGATCTAGTCCATGTATTTTGTGTAATTTGTTACTGTATTATAATAATCTACTCCCAGTATTTTGTGTATTCTGTTACTGTATTATAATGATCTAGTCCCAGTATTTTGTGTAATCTGTTACTGTATTATAATGATCTAGTCTCAGTATTTTGTGTAATTTGTTACTGTATTATAATGATCTAGTCCCAATATTTTGTGTAAACGTACCTTTGATAACAATCTGTTACTGTATTATAATGATCTAGTCCCAGTATTTTATATAATCTGTTACTGTATTATAATGATCTAGTCCCAGTATTTTATATAATCTGTTACTGTATTATAATGATCTAGTCCCAGTATTTTATATAATCTGTTACTGTATTATAATAATCTAGTCCCAGTATTTTGTGTAATCTGTTATTGCATTATAATGATCCAGTCTCAGTATTTTATATAATCTGTTACTGTATTATAATGATCTAGTCCCAGTATTTTATATAATCTGTTACTGTATTATAATGATCCAGTCCCAGTATTTTATATAATCGGTTACTGTATTATAATGATCTAGTCCCAGTATTTTATATAATCTGTTCCTGCATTATAATGATCTAGTCCAAGTATTTTGTGTAATCTGTTACTGTATCATAATGATCTAGTCCAAGTATTTTGTGTAATCTGTTACTGTATCATAATGATCTAGTCCAAGTATTTTGTGTAAACGTACCTTTGATAACAATCTGTTACTGTATTATAATGATACGAGGCGTGGGTAAAAGCCTGAAGCAGATACGATCGATCACGAAACTTATACTGTATACTAGTCTCCAGCTCGTCGTAACCATCTAACAACGCCTCTAACTTGTCGACAGCGTTATCTTCTGTTATAATTAACGGGGAAATGGGACAACTAAAATCTTCATATTCAGCTTCACTCACCTAAAATATACAATTCATAGATCAGTCGTGATGTTGAATTCTGCTTTTATTATTTAAATATTAAAGTGGTGGATCGTTATTTGCATTTTTCGGAAAAATATCCAATCTTTCACAAGCTTAATCCAGCTGAGAGAGAGAGAGAGAGAGAGAGAGAGAGAGAGAGAGATGGGGTTTGGCCATTTCGGGACTAACATGTTTATATTTTATTTCAATAATTCGCTCGTGAGTAGGGGTCTATAGCAGTGGGAGGAAACCAGAGGCCCCGGAGAAAACTCATTAGGATGGACAGGCAATCCTACTCCTTGAATATATGAATAAAGAAAACTTTATCATGAACCGTAGATAATCTGCCGGGTTGAACATCTCCCGGAAACTTGCCAGACATTAATCAGTCTTAGTTCGATTCCTAAGCTCCTCCCCAAATGGCTCCTGATTGGCTGGATTTTTTTGAATGCAATGCTTCCGATTTCTCGACAATTAGGCATCAATTAATGATCCTTGGAACATTTTCCACATCTTGACATCAAAAATTCATTCAAAGAAAGCCGATTTGATGATTTACCGGGAACAAATTTTATCTCGCAATGTGAGTGATTTTTTGGCTACATACGGGAAATTTCTGAAGAAATGCGAGTTTGAGCCATCATCTTGAACCGAGATTGTCATGATGGGCTATGTTACAAGATATTTCAATGTCTGTACATTGAAGAAAATGGTTCATAACTATTCAGTTTCAAGATATAAAGCAAAGCGATATTTATAGAATTAATCGATCTCGATAAATCCTTTGCACTTACCTCCTGCCCTTCCTTTTTAACAAGCAATGTTTCAGGTTTTTCTTTCTTTGGTAAAACTTTGAGTCCTAGCCAAGACATGAACATGAGGGCAGCTTTTTTACCACATGTCGTCAAGTAACAACCAATCAGAGCTTCAGCGCAATCTGCAACACTTTTGTCGGGTATTCCGTGCTGCGTCTGCAAACTGTACGGTATTAGGCGTTGACTAGATTCCCCGCTCTTTTCATATTCAAATATTTCTTCAGCTTCCTTCAGCTCTTGGTTAAAATTGTGCACCTGGGCAGAACTAACGTCGTCGTTTCCTGTTTCAGCAGAAAAGGTACCGATGGGAAACCCCTTTTTGGAGGTTTCCGACTCATCTAATACGAAATTAGAAGCCATTTTATCATTTTTGGTTCCGGCGATGAGAACTTTAGGCACAGGACCTCGTCTTCGATCTTCATTTATGATATAACAGGGAGGTAACCAGTTTTCATACGGCTCAAACTTCGCGGACACCATGCATTCGGCGATTCCGTGTTTTTGGCCAAGGCGGTATAAATTATAGTTGCTTACTTGTTTACTTCTCAGGTAACTTAGTTTTCCTTCGTGAATACCGGGATATGTACAATATAAATAAACAGTTATGGCATATTTGAGGAATGAATCTCCGATCGTTTCCAATCTTTCCAAACTAAAAAAGTCGTTTGCATTGGACATGGTTAAGGCTTGTAGAAGAAGACATGGACTCGGTCCTACGAACGTCTCTAGATCACGATCTGTGTCCAAAGAAATTTCAGGTAAGGAGTAATTTTTACCGTCGTCGGGAATCTCAGCTGGTTTGGGTTTCGGATTATTCCAAACACCAACGGAGAAAACGGCAGAAGAATGATGGTTGCTGATTCTCGGCTCGTGTTCAAAAGATTCAGGATTTTGTCTTACGCCCTTTTCTTCATTAGAATTAAAATTATCAGTGGATGGAGCAATTTCTTGTGATGGTGGTGGTGGTAGTGGTGGATGTGTTTCTGGAGTGTTGCTATGGTGAGAGGATATGCCTGGACTAGATTCGGTAATACAACTCGATGATTGGCACAGAGGTTTAACTTGATTAGCATGAGAATGAGATTCATCTGGAATGTTGTTGACAATGGTGAGATCACTACTTTGGTTCTGGCATATTTGCATATCATGTTTATTGCAATCATAGATTGTGCGTTGCTCTAGGTTTGATATGTTGTCGTTTACTGGGTTGTCGATGGATATAGCAGCCATTTTATTATGCAACTTGTTCAACTCTTGAATTTCCTCCCGGGCTTTGGACTGGCAGCAGTTTCTTGACTTCTGTTGAATATCTTGCGGGTTTGATTTGTTTTCTGCATCAAATTCTGTTTCTGAACTGGAGATTTTATCCTCGGACTTTATGCTCACATCCGATGCACTTGAAACTATGCCCGAGTCACTGTCAGATGACGAATCACATTTATCTGATGCAACATCACATTTGTCAGATGAAACATCACATTTTTCAGATGCAACATCACATTTATCTGATGCAACATCACATTTGTCTGATGCAACATCACAATTGTTTGACGCAACATCACATTTGGCCGGCACAACGTCACACTTGTCAATCGACATGTCACAACTTGTTGAAGGTATGTCACATTTACAAACTGAGGATGAGACATTGCTAAGGGATGAATTTGTTTCGGTGAAATCACAACCAGCAGAATTCATTGAGGAGCCATTTTCTGTTTTAGGCACATGAACACAAGTTTGATTAGAGTCGTTCTTATTTTCACTGGATAATTGACAATCATCGTCTTGAACGTCAGGTTTGTCTGCACTGTCACGTTTTATCTTATCAGGACTAGTTTCGAAACCAAAATCCAATTGCGGAAAGCGAAATTCATCCGGCAAATCTGTGACACCTATTCCGGTTTCCATGGAGATACGTATTCGGATCTCTTCTGCTAAGAGTAGGTAATTCATTCGGTACAAAATGGCCGGCAGACAAGCAGCTTTTCGCCACAAAGAAGCAGGAAAAACATGGATATCGCACAGTTCAGGAATTAAAATTTGTTTCTGTTGTAAGTTCTCCCGTCTAGCGCGTTTCGTTTCCGCGCTGCTGGTCGGTAGGGCAACACCTTTTTGATTCATGTATCTCGGTGTCAGAAGGTTTAATCTGGCAGACGTGTGATCAACGTCTAGCAATGGCTGATCAGTGTTGGTTATAACCAGACCATATTTGGTAGTGTAATAATTATCAAAAGTTTTATAAAGTTCGGGTGAAGGGAATGAACTAAGTGGACTGAGGTCATAACGGATTTCGGCAACATAAAAATTCTGTGGTTGATCGATGTTACGATAGGAGGGCATAACAACGGCGTCTTCAAAATCTTCTTTCCTGAATTCAAAAATATCTCGTTTGGAATCAAAGACATTTTTCTTTTGATCAGAATTGACTCCAGTGACATAATCAACAAAATTCCATTCTATGTCTGCTACGTCGTTGAGATCTGAAATGAAAAAGAGAAACAATGGCTGATTAAGACTGGATAACTTGACTGAGGCCACAGGGACCATCAATATTCAGTGGGGCCTTAAAATGAGACTGATGCCCTCTGCCTCAATCCCAAAATAAATAGTCGACATATATTATATATATATATATATAATTAATGCATATTATCTATGTTTTTCTTAAGCACTGCACAAGCAAATTGCTTATTTAAAGTGTACTTAGCTGTAGCTGAAAAAGCCAACTTAGTCAAGGTATTGATGTAACTAAACTATACACCAAGATTCTGACTTAACAGAAAATGATCATCATAAAGCAGAGTTATTTCGTTCCAAAAACGGTGATAGACAGGCAGACCGACAGATAAACCCATTTTAATAGCACCACTCGACACAAGGTAGGACATTTCGGGACTAACATATGGTTCAATTGTATTTATATAAATCGCTTGAACATAGGGGTCTTTAGCAGAGGGAGGAAACCGTAGGACCCAGAGAAAACCCACGAGGTTTGACTGGCGATCATACAAGGTAGGACATTTCGGGACTAACATATGGTTCAATTGTATTTATATAAATCGCTTGAACATAGGGGTCTTTAGCAGAGGGAGGAAACCGGAGGACCCAGAGAAAACCCACGAGGTTTGACTGCAATCCTACTCTTTGTCACGTACAACTGGGGAATTGAAACACAAATTTAGAACTATGTCTTGCCTATTAGTGAGAATAGCAGACGATTGAAAATTTATAGCGGGCCTGACATTAGCGTAAATTACATACCTGGATCAAGCGGAACAATCAAATATCCGACGTCTGCTATTTTCGGATTACATTCCATGGGATCTTTATCGAGATGTAAAACTTGGGTAAATACAAAATGATGAAATTTTTGAAGTTTGTCTAATTGGTCGTGTGTGATGACGATATCAGAACGACAGAGATCTATTGAAACTGTTACTTCACCAGATCGTGTATAAACCGGAAACATAGGCACCTGTAAAATAACAACAAATTTAAATCCCCTGGTAACCAACTTCTAGGATCCTGTCCCTGGTAACCAACTTCTGGATCCCGCCCTTCTGGGATGCCACTCATGACACCACGGTCGGATGCCCTGTTAACCAACTGCTGGGACCTCACTCAACATATAAAGGTTGGATCACCTGTTAACCTACTGCTTGGATCCCACTCAACATGATGTTGAAGGTTGGATCCTCTGCTAATACTAGATTCCCACTATCACGAATCACACGACAAGTGAAATCGTGGTTTTAATCATGGAGTAATCATGGTGATACTATCGGGTATTATGATATATTGAGGCCAGTAGTAGCAATTGTGTTGATCATATCGAAACATATCCAAACGTTTCTGCACGTACCAGATTGTGGACTCAGTAGCGACAATCCCATCGTAACGCATTGCACGAGAGTGAGAATCTAGCATAAACAACTGTTGGGATCTCACTCAACATTTAAAAAATCCAGTAGACGTGGTACAAGGGTTAATCAGCGAACTGGATGTATGAGATGTGTTGTTGACGTTTGGGAAAGTAGGACGAGGGGAAATGTGTAGGGAGTGAAGTGCTGTAAGGGATAGTTAGATGTATTATGAATGGTTAGAGTGGCTGTGGTGTTACGGTGAAATACTATGCCGCCACCGTAACACCACAGCTTTATGATTTGTTAGACAGGAGTGATGTAATGGGTGTCAACAACTGGGTATGCTGGTACCGTCGCAACGTAGCCGTGAAATATATATTGTGGGGGGGGGGGGGAAGGGCGGAAACGGAAAAATATACAATGTTGACAGTATGTGCCAGGCATGAGGCTGCGCAGGCCGAGCGGCAGCTCGATAGGGAGTGTGTGGGAGGGTCACCCTCATAAAAAAATTTTTTTTTAAATTTCAGTTTTCTGTAAGCAGTGAAAACACTATTTTGGCATTGTTTGCGGGGTTAAACCTAAAAATCACATTAATACACCCATTGCACGATATTGTGAAACTAGCTGACGAAGACAGCTCGGGCGGCGATTGTTCGACTCGGGGCTGCTCTGTCAGTATCTAACAAACGCATTTAGTTCGCGTACAACTTTTAAAAACCGAATGTCAGTATGGTATTTCTCACATAATTGGTTATCGCAAAAACAGAGTAAACTGAGAGTGAGTAATCTCGACTCAAACCTATAGTCTATAGCCTACTTACTACACTCGTCACTAGGCTTCCTATATTATTGTTTGTGGACGGTTTACTACTCAGTGATAAGCCTGCGCCGCAAAAAGAGGTCTCGCCTTTTATTATTAGTATAATGACTTCCTCATGTGCGGCAGGTTAGTTTGCTTCTAAAAACACTGTTTTCCGTTCCAAAAAATACAAAAGTAATTTTCTACCAGATGACCATGGTTCTTTTCACCGAGACTAGATAATTTCTCTCGGTGTAAGGATATAGCTATGGATAAGTCCATACAAGGTCAATAAATCCGCGGTCACTTCGGGTCACACTGTTGAGAAAATAAACCGATGGGTTTGTTTAGTAGCAAATCGAGCGTGAATCAACTGAGTTTGTACTGAAAAATTTTTGAGTGATATGTATGAACTGTCTTCACACATTCGGTTTATAATTAGCGATACACAGGTACAGTGGCAAGTGTTGTACTTCACAGACTGTTTACCTCCGAACTACCTCCGCACGAAATCCCCGATTTGGGTACTTGTTAAAAGAAAAAGAAATAGTACCTGTGCGCATGCCAGTAAAAAAAACCCTAAGAGTTCGCGCATAAAAATGCCCGAACGTACCAGGCGCCAGGTCATCTAGATGATAAAATACCTATTTATAAACTTACCTGTGGAATATATCTAGATGATAAAATACCTATTTATAAACTTACCTGTGGAATATATCTAGATGATAAAATACCTATTTATAAACTTACCTGTGGAATAAATTTAGATGATATAATACCCAGACAACGAGATGTTTCTTCTGGAGCGTAAATACTTCTACCTCTCGTATTCTGTTCATCTGTGATTGGTCCCGTTAATCTCATATGTATCATATACAGATAACATGCTGTATTCTCTACGGGATGACTTGACATAAACGCATCGGCAATCTAAATAGAAATGAAACAGTATTTAACATCCTACTGTTCTGCTCCGACTGGGCTAATAGAGATGGTCATACGCCATGCAGTGGGCCATGAGGGAAATTTTGACCATAAAACGGTGTTACAGCCTACTCTTATATCGAATTCCAACTGTCAAGGGATCTTTCATGTGTACACAGGACCATGTTTTTTTTTTGTCCCAATTCATGTATGATCTGAAACTTGGCATGTTTGTTCCTTTGACAATTGCTCATCGATTAACCGACTTCAATTTTTCATACGACTTCAGAATTCCAAGATCACTGCAATGACATCTTACTCACTATTCCTCATCTTCACGTCCATAGATTGGTGGAACTTGTTAAACTTACTATGTCATCAAAAATTTAGTTTAAACAGGCTTTATAGAAGATTAGATAAAGAGCTGGCAGTTTTCACTATAATAGTTGAAAACTAGATAATGTAAAGGGAATATGCTGAAAATTGTAGTCAAATTGCTCCACTCTGAACCGAGATATTAGGAATTGAATTGAGCAGCAGATCGGTTTCAAATTCAGTGAAAATCTGACTCATAAGATGGCATCGAGAGTTAATTAAGGTCTTTTCATGTTAATAAATGTCTAATTAATAGTTTAGATAACATTTCATGCCTAAAGAAAGACGTGCAATAGGCAGATTTAGCTCTTGCATAATGTATGTTTATATAACATTTCATGCCTAAAGAAAGACGTGCAATAGACAGATTTAGCTCTTGCATAATGTATGCACATACCTTCTTGAAATAATACTGTTTACGTTTGGTTGTTCCTGGTCGTCCCTGACTAGATACATCTTCGTCATCCCAGTCTTCTTGTTGTTCTTGTAGAAACATTTCTTTACCAACAGGTTGAAGTTGTTCATCTAGTTCACCTTCGAAACATATTATCTCGAATATTATTATACAATGCTATGACATTCTAAGGGTTAATATTATTTTCCACGTTCGACGACGGAATTAGAGGGAATTAACTTCCTTATAAGAGTTTTCCCATATTTCAACCTGATTAAAACACTGATCCTATTTCGTTTCATTTTTTATAATATTTCATAATTTTGTTTTATTTGTCTTTAGTACACTAGCATCTGGAAGAGTTGTTATTTGACCAGCATTCTAGATGATGTGAGGAATTAGCCAATGAAACGGTCTGTTACGACGAGTGTTTGGCTTGAGTTGCATGGAACTGTAGTTAACTCATTATCAACATCAAATTTCTGACGCCATAAGGTCAAAAATTGTATGATCTCTGATGCAACCTTCCACTACAACCAGTCAGTTCTTTATGTAGTAGAGGCCATAGAAAGTATATAAAAAAAAACAAAACGAAATATAGATCTGCGTTTTAATCCGATTGTATTCCATGCAGTTTGTTATTGACAGTGGCACTCCGTGAAGGTTTTATTGAGCATGCCTACGAGTACACATGATCTTGGTTTTTCGTTGTTTTGAAACAACTAGACACTGTTTTTGGAAAGGCCCTCCCATCCTGAACCATTGACAAATGGAAACCATAGAACCATCCCGGAAAATCCGGAGGAACTTGCAAGCTCAACCAAAACCGGGATCGAAATGAAATGAAATGGGGTTTAACGTCCTACTGTTCTGCTCCGACTGAGCTAATGAAGACCGGCATACGCCATACAGTGTGCTATGAGGGAAATTTTGAATGGGTAGCGGCACTATGGCCTTCTCTTGTATCAAAATACAACTGCCAAGTGATCTTTTACGTGCATGCCAATGTATACACTGGACCTCGGTTTTTCGTACCATCCGAATGACTAGACAGCTTTCCTTGTCTCCGTCCCACACCACTGACAATGAGAAACCACGCCAGAAAATCCCGATGAACTTTCTCGGCCAATGCAGGGATCGAACACGCAGCCTCCAGACTAGCGAGTCAGCATCTTACCCACTTAGCCACTGTGGCTCCCCACAGGGATAGAACTGGGGTCCTCTTGGTTAGCGAGCCACCGCCTTACTCGCTCAGCCACTGAATAAATACTTTCTCTTATTTCTCTAAAATAGTTTTATAGCAAAACAAAGTTTTATTAAAATTTACCTCTTTTGTGTAGAATTTCACATGCTTTCTGAGCAACAGCCATTTGGGCAAGTTTTTTAGTTGGCATCGGAACTCCCTGAAATAGAATTAATAAACACCGTCTTCTCCATTTTCAATCTTAAAAATATCTTACTTTGATATCCAATGACAAAATCTAATTCTTTTCCGAACTAACATATGGGACAATGTTATTTCACTAATTAGCTTGCATGTAGAGGTCTTTAGCAGTGGGAGGAAACTGAAGGACTCAGTGAGAATCCACAAGGTTGAAAATGTGGGCGTATAAAAATAAATAATAACTTGAACACTTGATTTGAGAAGAGCGACCAAGAACTTTTGGATTTTAATTCAGTTATGGTTCTTTTCCTGAAGAACAAGAATTCAAATTGTGTAGCCTTACTGTCATATTTTTATTACACCAGTGTATCACACTAAGAATTAAACAATTGCAAAAAGCTACCGCACAATGAGGACCGAAGTGTCCGATAGTCATTTGAGGCAGCATGAATCCCCGGTAAACTACAATATCGTGAAAGTTGAATCTCAAAGGAATATCAGGTCAGAAATGGTTCAATTCTGTTCAGTATTTACAAAGATACGATGAATTAAAAATCTGTCAACATTTTGCATTGACGGCAAATGATAAGTCACAAACAGCCATTACCACAAATAATCTTCATTGAAATCTTTTGAATGTAAAATAATCAATTTGAGAACAAATAACAATCAGTGACTATAAATCAAATTAACGTCAAATTACCGTAATTTCTTCCTTGATTGGTGAGTTGATAGGTAATCTAAGATGGCCGACATATTGAATACCGTCTGCTTTGTTTGTTGTTGTTATATTACACTGGGGAGTTAAATGAGTGAAGGCATCACTTGGTAATTTTGCACAGTATCTAAAATATTAATACACTCATACAGAAAGACGGCTATACTCTTTTTACTTTTCAAACATGGTCACAAAATGAAATGAAATGGGGTTTAACGTCCTACTGTTCTGCTCCGACTGGGCTGATGAAGATGGGCATACGTCATACAGTGTGCTATGTAAGAAATTATTCCCAGGCAGTGGCACTATGGCCTATTCCATCTGCCGGGGGATCTTTTACGTGCAGTTTTTTGTCCCATCTGAACGACTAGACAGCTTTCCTTGTCAGGCCCTCCATCCTGTACCACTGACAACAAGAAACCACGCTGGATAATCCCAAACTTGGCCCCATCCACCCATCCTCTCATGGGCCTATGAGCAGAGAAACAATTTAAACTAACTATGGGATGTCAGGCCCAAAAGAGTTTGGAATGGTTCAAAACCCTAACTATGAATTATAATAAATGAATTTACCATATGAAAATGATCTAACTCCCTTCCATAACTTGCCTTAAAGTAGGTTTTCATTATCAAAGTAACCCCAACCCTCATACAAAATAGCCCTACTACTCATACAAAATATCTCCATCCTCATAGAAAATAGCCATACCCCTCATACAAAATATCCCTACCACTCATACAAAATATCTCCACTCCTCATACAAAATATCTCCACCCCTCATACAAAACAGCCCCACCCCTCATACAAAATAACCATATCCCTTATACAAAATCTGTTGTTTTAATTCATTAGTTGGCTTTTTATTCACGCTCAAATAAACTTCTCAAAAATAAATTATTGTACCTGTTAACAAGGCCGATAGAATTAGAAAGTGTGACCTTTGACCCAGTAAACTGATTATTGGTTGGATTATAGGGTGGTAGTAGGTCGCCATAACAACTGACATCTTCATCTTTTATATCGTCATCTTTATCTTTACCTATTAATACCTGAAACAACATAGAATAGGGGTTTAAATAGGGCTGTGTATTGCGGCCATAAATCGTATTGCAATATATAGATAGAACTCAATGACCATTGAATACCACTCAGGTTATTCAATGGTTCAAGAGTGTATCCCTGTACGGTTCAAGAGGGATACACTCGAGTGAACTATTGAATAACCCGAGCGGTATTCAATGGTCATTGAGTTCTGTTTTTATTCTATAACTACATGTAAATATCAAAATACACTGTACTATCCAGATTATCAAAAACAAAATCACCAATAATGTATTTGCATATAGTTATAGAATAAATTGCGATATATTGCGATATATTGCAGTATTGCAATACTTCGATAAAGTCGGGGTTTATCACAAAGCACAGTTTTATTTTGAATAGTTTTATTGTTTTTACAACTTTGGTCTTGGACACTTATTTTTTTTTTTACTGCAAAGCCTATAATATGACTGAATCATGTGAATACACATTTCTTTTTATATGTCTTGGCAGATAAATTGTTTACTGCACGGCCTAAATAATATGGCTGATTATCAAGTCTTTATAAACAGTTTAGCTAACATTTGAATATAAAATAAAAGTAGAAAAATATCGATACGGCAAAAATGTATCGATACGGTGTATAGCAGATGATCGTATTGCAATATTTTTTTAACAGTCTTAGGTTTAACGTCTGGTCAACACAAGACTGGGGTCCATATTACATTTCTATATTTACGCGTAGGGGATAAATTTGCACAGACAATGTTTCACCTACTCTTTTTCAAATTCCAGTTGCCAAGGATAGTTTTAGCCAATATTAACTAGTGCTGGGTATTGCCACTGCAGTCATGATCCAATACGTATTGTGATTCAGGTGCTACAATACAATTCGTATCATGAATCATAACCAGGTCAATATTTACCAAGAAAACAACAGGATAAATGAATAATTGATATATTTAGTCTTGTCGATGTCATAATATCGATGTAGATCAAAACGACCAAGAGTGTTTGCATGATCTTTATTTTGTCATTGGAATACAAGCGAGATATGGGGTTTAACATCCATTTGACACAAACTAGGCCATTTCGACACTAACATACGATACAATTTTATGTCAATAACTCACTTGAACATAGGGGTCGTTAGTAGTAGGAGGAAATGGAGGATCCTGAGAAAACCAACGAGATTGGACAGGCAACCTTGTCACATACAGCCAGGGAATCAAAACCATGCTAGTTGACTCAATGAAAAACCTTATGGTATAACGTGCATTAGCATAAACCATTCGGCCAACAGCCCTCACCCGAAGACAGATCTTATGATCTACAGAGTAGACAATAGACCATTCAACCACCAAATCTTCCCGTTTGGATTGAAATTCAATCAATTCTATAAAAGGTCATTAATTAGCATATTTCAATATAATGGAACTGACCTCTTCAATTTCCTTAAATAGTTTTAAATCTTCACTGAACATCTTTTTATTTTCTTCATCTAATAAAATAACATAATCTGAATCACGAGCTCTAGCTCTGCCCTGAAATAAATAGATTTAACAGAAATTATATAAATTGAAAGGTAGAAATTGATCATCATCGAAATCAGTCAAGTTTGAAGACACTACCTCAATGAGAGAGAGAGAGAGAGAGAGAGAGAGACAGAGAGAGAGAGAGAGAGAGAGTCGACACAAACTAGGTTATTTTGGGACTAACACATGGTTCAATTTTTTTCAATAATTCGCTTGCGCGTAGGGGTCTTTAGCAGTGTGAGGAAACCGGAGGACCCAGAGAAAACCCACAAGGTTAGACAGGTGACCCTACTCGGCCTGGTCACCTACAACCGGGGAATCGAAACCACGCTAGTTGACTCAATGACAGACCTTACGATACAACTTGCATGTGCTAACCATTCGGCCATTCCCCCCCCTCCCCAACTTCAAGTAGAAGGAGAGTTATTGTGCTTCAAAGTCAAATTGAAGTCTGAGCTTAGCCTAAGCAGAAAATGCTCATCAAAGTCATCAATTCTTGACCAATCAAATTGCTTATGACTCAGGCTCTGCTTAACCAGGGTAGAAAATGCTCATGATTGAACTCAGTCAAAGTATTGATGTAATGGAACTATACACCGAGTTTCACCACCATAACTTAATTACAACCAACATTATTGTGTCTGTCTCAAAGTATCAACCAACAGAATTAATCATCAGCGTACTCCCTAACACAGTCTAGCTCAATTAAAAGCAGAGTTATATATTCCAAAAAGTGATAGACGGACGGACAGACAAATGGACAGACAGTCAGACCGATGAGCTCATTTTAATAGTTCACTAAATTATTCGACAGGCGGGTGACAAAAAGGTAACAGCATTGTTAAAACATTAATTTCTGTAAAAATGCAATTTTCAATAATCTGGAAGCAGTTTTCACAAACCATTTTAATGTATGTTTTCGGAGAATGCTGCATAGTCACGGTTTGTCAAGGGGTAGAGAGAAATGGGGTTTAACGTCCACTCGACACAAACCAGGTCATTTCAGGACTAAAATATGGTTCAATTTTATTTCAATAATTCGCTTGCGCGTAGGGGTATTTAGCAGTGGGAGGGAACCGGAGGACCCAAAGAAAACCCACGAGGTTGGAAAGGCAACCCTACTCCTTGTCACATACAACTGGGGAATAGAAACAATGCCAGTTGACTCAATGACAGACCTTATGATACAACGCGCACACACTAATCATTCGACCATCCAACCCCCCTGGTTTGTCCAGGGGGCATATAGTAGGATATGTAAAAATGAACTGACCTTAGATAATGTATATGATTTATAATCTCGTGGTGGATCAAATCTTACAACTAAATTACATTTAGGTATATCAACTCCTTGTTCTAAAACTTTCGTAGCTATCAGTAAGTTCAATTCCTGCATTCGAAACTTGCGTAGAACTTCCTCTTGCTTGCGATAAACTTTTCCTATTGTTGTTTTATTCGGAGCACTTCTGTAGCCCTGTCCGACGATATGATTACTTTTTAAGAAACACATATTTTCATCCCAGGAGCAGACTTCTTCTATAAATTTGTTCAAGGCTAGAGCCACGTATTGTTGATCAACGAAAACTAGTCCACAGAGTTGTCTGGCATCAGAATCTTCAGTGACAATTTCTCCATCCGTCTCGAAGTTCTGTCGCTTCACGGCAATGTGAATGAGTTTCGGTGAACTGGAATTTTTATCATCGTCTTCTGAGTCGGATAAATTCATGGAATCGTCATCGTCGTCCGACATGTCTGATTGGTCGTCTTCGTCGGAATAGTCCATGTCCCCACTGCTAATAATCATGAAATCTAAATCAGGTTTATATTTTTGTAGCATGTGCACGAGCTCGACAACCTTGGCCGTACTATATTTTAACAATTCATTCACATCATAATCTGGATTGAAATTTTTTTCAAAAACTTGCACCAAAAGTCGAAGCTGGGTCAGGGTAAATCGGATGAATTTTTTATTAATTTGACAAGATTCACTTTTCTCTGTTTTTTCGATCTGCGGAATGAGAATTTCACTTATGCGTGACGTACACCATGTTCCCAACTGCTGCAAAATATTTCTGATTTCTGACAGAACATTGATGCCGAGTTGTCTGGGATCTTTCTTGAAGGGATCAGCTCCTTCTTCCGGCGCTATATTACATTCGTAAAGAAAAAGTAGTGCGGAATCTATTATTTCACCAAGTTTGTAGACTAGATCATTTGAGTCTTCAGGAGGTAGACACTCCACCACTAACTCTTTTGGCCGAGAATCGAAACGTTCGGAGATCACAAGCATGGAGGTTTCAGCGATACATGTTAAGGTAGTTTCAAGATTTCTAATGGTTTCTTTGAGCTTGCTTGGTTCTGGAATACGACTACCGAGAATCGAAGCCGTGATCCCTAAAATATGAGGTTTAGATGGCGAATACTTTTCAATGTGTTGCATTAATTTAATGTAAGTGTGGTCACCAACGGCCAAGTGACAATCGTCGAAAATGAGCATGTTGATATGAGGTATCGGTAAACAATTTTGTGAAAAGGCATCACGAAGAACTTCCGCTGTGAAGACAAGAGCGTGTTTGGAAGCAAACTCTTCTTCCCATCTTTGTCGGCTCCAAGTTTCTGTTTCCATATCGATGGTGTAATAGCCCGTCTGTAAGTTGGTATGTCGGGACAACACCTGCCATTGAGCTTCTGCTGTTTCATCTGAAAATAGAAATGAATGAAACATAGATTCCAATGCAATGAAATGGGGTTTGATGTTGTCCTACTTTCTGGCATTAACCTGGCTAATCATGTGCGCTACACTACATGAATATAGGAAATTTTGCCCGGAAAGTGTAGCCTCCAGCAACTTTTTGTCGAATTCTGTCTGAAGATCCTGCACAACATGCCAGACCCTGCATCCAAACAACTTGCCAGGCCGATCATCCTGCTGAACAAGCCAGGCACACCATTCAGTCCAACTGACATCAAGCCAATTTTTTTGTCATCGCTGGAACCACCTATATAATGAGCCAGTGCAGTACTCAATGAGCTACCATGGCTTCCCAAAAAATGAAAATGAAATGAAATTTTGCCAGTAAGCCAGCATCTTACTCACTTAGTCACCGTGACCCCCCTAACATGTTAGACCAAGTCCCTAGGGCCAATAAACAACGATCCACAAACAAAAACTAACCTGAATTAACAACGTAAATAGTACGTTTTCCTCCGTCAGATATTGGTTTTCGTATTTCTCTGGCTAGTTCTTTGATAACCATTAAAGCTATAAATAATTTCTCAGTCGAACTACTCAAACAAATTATCGTGTTTCGTTTTAAAGCTGCATCGACCAAATCCACCTAAAATTATCCAAAAATAAAATAATTTAAATTACTTCTACAAAGTCTCTGCGCATTATTTGCATTTTTCAAAAAACATAATTTCAATCATAGCACGAATCGTGATAGTGGGAACCTAGCATTATTAAGGGATTCAAAATCCCACAGATCATAATTACACTCAGCAAACCTCAGCAGATTCCAGTACCCTACATCATCTAGCCTCGGCTGTATGACGAAGTCCGCCATCGGAACTACTTTCAAGTTCCCAGATTACCAATGGCGTTGCCCATGACGACAGGCTCCATGTAGGGTAAGGGAATCTGCCGAGTGATCATAATCACAGACTTCTAGTTTTACTTTCAGTTTGGATACGATTAGAATTTAGCATGGATTCAAGTCACATTATGAAGAAGATAAGCGACTGGATACAGACCGATCAAAGTATTTTTTCTTTTTGTTTATTGTAGAAAAAAAATTGTCAATTTTAATAATTACTGACCTGATAAGTTCTTGGTGTAAATCTGTTTACAGGTAAATCGTCATGTCTTAAATGCCTTGGCAACTTTTTGTTCAAGTCAGGACCAATCCTGGTCATCTATAATCATAAATTAAAATAAAATAAACACTTTCTGATTAACTAATAAGGTACAATTAGTTTGGTATGTTTCATTTGTCTTGACTCAGTCAAATAAGCCTTTCTTTACATCAGCAATATTAAAGGGATATTAGGTAAGATTAGATAAAGAGGTGACAGTTCTCGCTATAATAGTTAAAATAAAGATGATGAAAACAGAATATGCTGGAAATTTCAGTCAAATTGCTTCACTCTGAACCAAGATATTAATTATTTGGGACTTAGAAATTGACACAAATGGGTCGCAAATTATATTATAATAATGTAATTTGAATGTACATGTATATAAACGTATATAAACTGATTTACATTCAATCGTTTCTGTTTTTACTCTAATTTCTAATCAGTTATGTTTGGAAATATATGCCATAAGTCCCAATGGAACGACAATCTCTAGCGTCTGGTTATTCCAGTCTACTCAGGTAGTATTTTTGGCGCATTCTCTCCAGATAAGAATATGACGTCATCATTTGACATGACTTGTGGAATATGTCTAGCCATATTCTTCGAGTCCCTTGTTAAAAATGGTGTTGTACCAATGGTAAAATGTTTATTTTGTCTTAAATATTGGATTTCAGAAGCCCATCATTTCCCGAAAAGATAACACGATTAATGTTGATTTAAATTGACAAATAATTTGTGTTTTCAATGTCGAAGACTTTTGATGATATTGAGTTAGAGACCCTAGTTACTTTAATCCCACATAAACAACAGCAGCTAGTGAACAAAAACCAATGGGAAATAAACACCAGCCAAAAAAATTCATTCATTCAGTAGTCATTCACCTTTCTAAGATTCCCATTCATTCATTCAGAATCAATGGACAAATCCGACAATACAGGATCATAGGAATACGTAAAGATGACAGATGCATTACGAATTTTAAGACAATTTCTCTTGAAATTAATAGGGAACCTATTTAATATTGTAGATACAAACCTTCCCATGCGCCGTTGACATAATTAACACAATAAATCGACTATTATTTCTTCATTTCCAATTTCTTTCCATTTTGATTAGGTTCCAAAATAATGACCGGAAGTGAAGAATTTAGAATAGGAATTGTTATTTTTCTTCTGATTGGTTGAATTCTCATATTTACACTCTAACATCCAATGAAATCCCTTATCTTTATATTTGTGCACTTCCGCCTACGAAGGAAGTCTCTACTTTCAATTTATGTAAACTTTCGATTTTGGATAACGTTTCCGCATAGCTTTTATCATTTTGATGGCTTCAGAAACCAATAATAAAGACAAAGAGTACAATTTACTGAAGTATAAAGTTTTAGAGGTGACTCTAAATATAGTATTATAACATGATGTCAAATGGTTTATGTCAGAAATTTAGAGAAATATAACTGTACTGTACTTGTACTCAGTAGCCTACTGTGTGACTTACTGTGGCACACTTTAATCGCTGACTGGCAAAGAATTGAAACTCAAAAATAAAAAAAAAATATACCGGTTTAGAATAATGTTAGATATATAGTCCTAGAGGCCATAAACATTGAAATAAATTTAAAGATTAAACATGTGTTATATAATATAAGAGTTAGACAAAGAATCGACACAACTAGCTCATTTGGGACTAACACATTCAATTGGAGTTTGAGAGAACCCACCATACAAAACTAGCTAATTTGGGACTAACACATGAGAGAACCCACTAGTTTGGACAGGCAACCCAACTCCTTGTTACATACAACAAGCAGGGAATCAAAACCATAATATCTGACTCAATGACAGACCTTATGATCTAATGCGCATGTGTTGAACCATTCTGCCTGGCCCCGCTATGGGCTAGGGGTCGTTTACTAGTCTATGTATGCTGTAACTTCTGTCTACAAATAAACACTAGCTTATACTAGCCTATACTAAACTGTCTAAACTATGAATATATGTTTTTGTGTCTTGTCGTTCAGATGAGACGAAAAACCAAGGTTTGGTGTACACATTGGCATGCACGTAAAAGATCCCATGGCAGTTGGAATTCAATATTAGAGTAGACCATAGCACTGCTGTCCGGGCAAAATTTCCCTTATATAGAACACTGCATGATGGCGTACGACTATGCCCGTCTTCATTAGCCCAGTTGAAGCAGAATAGTAGGATGTTAAATCCCCCATTTTATTTCATTTCTCTGTGAGTGGTTGTATAGGTAGGGGCAACTGTGCATTGCTCTTCCTGGGGTCCATAATTTTGTTAAGACAGCCCTACTCGAACATAAACAAGGGAGATAAAAGTTACTTGTTAGTCTCGGAATGATAAAATTATTGTGTTGATGAGACATTCCAGTGAATTGGGTTGGATGGCCGAATGGTTAACATGTGCCTGTTAGATCATAAGGTCTGTTATTGAGTCAAGTGCCATGGTTCTGATTCACTGCTGGTACGTGACAAGGAGTAGGGTCGCCTTTCCAACTTTGTGGGTTTTCTACAGATACCCCAGTTTCCCCCCACTGCTAATGATCCCATATGCGCAAAAGTGAATTATTGAAATAAAATTGGAACTATATGTTATTCCCGAAATGGCCTAGTTTGTGTAAAGTGGACGTTAAACTCCATTCCTCTCTCTTGCTTTTGACCATTCCAATGAAATATTTGAATGTTTGACAGAGATCAAAGAGGATATGTCATTTTAATAATTTCAGATCCCAGATACCATCCTATACATCCCTAACTTTATCAGTGAACAAGAAGAGAAAGATTTATTAGACCATGTTTATTCAGCACCAAAACCAAAATGGACACATTTATCGAACAGACGATTACAGAACTGGGGTAAATAATACTAATAATAGTGAGTTCTTATATTGCGCGCAGATCCATCAAAGTTAATGCTCAAGGTGCATTTAGCTCTCCACTTATCACAGGGTGGTTGGATGGCCGAATGGTTAGCATGTGCGCGCTGTATCATTCATAAGGTCTGTCATTGAGTCAACTCGCGGGATTTCGATTCGCCGGTTGTACGTGACAAGGAGTAGGGTCTCCTGTCAAACCTCATGGGTCTACTCTGGGTCCTTATTTTTCCTCCCACTGCTAAAGACCCCTACACGCAAGTGAATTATTGAAATAAAATTGAACCATATGTTAGTCTCGAAATGACCTTGTTTGTGTCAAGTGGAAGCTAAACCCCATTTCTCTCTTCCACATCCCAAGGGAATGATTGCTGAAAATATACCACAGGTAAGTGTGTTCTAGCCGTTTAAATACCTGTAACCTGTTTTAAATCTGCATACAGCGGAGATTTTGGTCTTGAAGGGTTGAAATTTCTAGAAATTACTGAGCATACAGGTGTTTTAGAATTTTTCACGATTACAAATCTGTTTATTGCAGAGGTGGATTCAAGGGGCGCCCCTAATTTTCGACAGTGCCCTTTTTTACTGCTGAAAGTGCCTTTTCTCAGACCCAAATATGTCCGTTCCCAACCCGTTGCAGGGATCCCAAATGACTCAAACCATCGATTCAAACACACCAGTCTGGTCTAATTAATGCTTCCACTTTCAAACGAATTCTTGTTGTTTAGCTGACAGTGCCCTAATCCTATAGAGTGACTATAGACAGACATCTTGTGGAATCGGCGGCGTATACACTCATGTCCATCACCGACGCGCATGAGTGCAACTTGATGTAGCATTGTTTCATGTGTGGACAGTCCAAAGTACAAGTTACAAGGCTTAAATAGTGAAATGGCTAGGGAATAGATTCGTCTTTTTTCCCATCATAATTCCACGCTCGCCCTTGACAATTTTCGAGCCGCATGTTCAACTGGCTTTCTTGCTCGATTTTAAGGCTCTTTTTCAACGATTTCCGAACGTTTACTTAGACGATACTATCAGTCAAATAGCTCTTGGAATGGCTACAGATGCAAGGTAATGACGGATAATTTTCTTGGGGCGACCCCCCCCCCCCCCAAAAAAAAAAAAAAAAAAATCCCCTCTCAGTGCCCTTTTCAAAATTCCTAGATCCGCCCCAGTATTGGATAAGGATTCAAAAACAAACATGTGGTATATGTGAAGAATTCACATTACACATAATTCATATTCTCAGTTATATTAAATATATTTACTGTTTCATATTCTCAGTTATGTTAAAAATATTTATTGTTTCATATTCTCAGTTATATTTAAATTTACCTTGTAGAACATTTGCTGGTCATCATTAACCCAGTTGGTGCAGAAAAGTAGGACGTTAAACCCAATTTCTTTTTTCATAAAACCTGTTGGTTAAAGATCACATAAGGTGAAAAATCTTAATTGCATGTACATAGTCATCCATTTATGTGCCCTTTAAGAAAAGTAGGACAACGAATTTCATTTCATTTACTATTAGGTAGGTTAGTTAAAAAAAAGTAGAACTTTAAACACCATTTTATGTTCATTCTTTTCTTTTGTTCAGTGGTTAAAGATTTATACTGAGAGAATAGCTGAATTAGAAATATTTGCTGGTCAAACACCCAACCATATTCTAGTTAATGAATATTTATCCGGTCAAGGTATTATGGTTAGTTAATTTTTATCATTATTTGAGGGCTTGAGCAATCCCTTGCAAATTGGGAGCCATGGTGGTTAAGTGGGTAAGACGCTGGCTCTCTAGCATGGAGGTTGCTTGTTCAATCCCTGCATTGGCCGAGAAAGTTCATCAAGATTTTCCAACGTGATTTCCCCTTGTCAGTGGTGCAGGACAAAGAGCCTGTCAAGGACGTGGCATGCAGGTAAAATATCCCTTGGCAGTTGGAATTCGATATAAGAGTAGGCCATAGTGCCACTGCCCGGGCAAAATTTCCCTCATAGCACACTGTATGGCATACACGGGACTTCAGTTTATTGTCCCATCCAAACGACTAGACAGCTGTCCTTGTCAGGCCCTCCATCCTGCATCGCTGACAAGGGGATACCACGCCGGAAAATCTGGATGAACTTTCCCGGCCAATGCAGGGATCGAACACCCGACCTCCTGGCTAGCGAGCCAGCGTCTTACTCACTTAGCCACGTGATCCCCCCCCAGTTGGAGCACAACAATAGGACGTTAAACCTGATTTCATTTCACCCGACTATAAACAGACCTAGAATTGCCGATCAGCCTACCCTAGATTGCAACATTTACAATACTGTAGTTTGCAGAGGATTGCTATATCGCTTAAACGTACATTATGCAAGAGCTAAATCTGCCTATTACAGGTCTTTCTTTAGGCCTGAAATGTTATCTAAATTATTAATTAAACAGTAATCAACTTATCTAAATTATTAATTAGATATTAATTAACTTATCAAGACCATAATCAACTCTTGATGCCATCATTAGTTTAAATACATTTTGTGATGGCAAGAACTCGAGACTGTTTATTATGGTACAAACATTACTAATGACGTTCGAGGCTAGCGAGAAATTGAATCATTAATATCTTGGTTCAAAGTAAAGCAATTTGACTGAAATTTTCAGCATATTTTGTTTTCATTATCTATTTGTTAACTGTCATAGCAAGAACTATCATCTCTTTATCTAATATCACCTAATGCCCCTTTAAATTGTGCTCAGTTCGCACTATAATAGTTAAAAACTAGATAATGTAAAGGAAATTTGCTGAAAATTTCAGTCAAATTGATTCTCTATGAACCGAGAATTAAGCGATTGAAATTTCGGCCTAGCCTCAATCATCATTACTAAAGTATGTACGATAAAAAAACATAGTCTCGATCATTCATTTCATGATTAAATTATGAATTGAAATCGAGCAGCAAATCGGAACCTAATCCAATAAACATCGCAGGCTAGCAATGCCAATGAGAGTTGTTTATGGTCTGGATAAGTTAATGAATGTCTAATTAATAATTTAGATAACATTTCAGGTCTAAAGAAAGACCTGCGATAGGCAGATTTAGCTCTTGCATAATGTATGTTTAAATGAATCTAGGAAAAAAAGTCACAGGTAAAAAAAGTCACAGTAAAAACACAGTAAAAAAAACACAGGTAAAAAAGTCACAACTTATATATATATATTGTATTGTAGAGTGAGTATATCTTTGATCTTTTAAGTTATTTGTCTTTGAGTTAATTAGGTTTGGTTAATAGAGTGGTTACTCTACATTACCTTGCTGCAAACACTACACAAACAGATTGGCTCTTTGATCAGTTCCGACTGTTCTGTGGAAAACTTGGAACAACAAGTTCTACAATCTTGTCGGCCAACACCATCCATCCATCTGGAGAGTGGTGGAGTGGTTCCAGAAGGAATCAGCCACAGTCCAGACTCTCGTCGCCCAGGATGCCATCGGAAATCCACCTGTCCGGAAGGTCAAGAAGAAGTTTGTAAAGATGCAGACACAACTACGAAATCTTTGCAGAGATCGTGTCAGCGATGCCAAATCCATCCCAGAATTCTTACATGGAGTTGGATGGAACATTACAATTAACAAAGAGTATTGATGTGCTAGAATGTTGAATGAGCTAGAATGTGCTAAAATGTCTGATGTACTGATATGTCAAATGTGCTATAATGTATTAAAATGTCAGATGTGCTGATATGCCATATGTGCTAATACGTCAAATGTGCTATGATATCAAAATGTGCTGATTTCTAAAGACTAAAACAGTCTGGCTACATCTGTGTAATGAACATAATAATATGTGTAATGAAAGGTTAAATATGTATGTTATTGTTTATATTGTTATTGAATTTGGGATGTAATAAAAAAACTGTGACTTTTTTTCCTGTGTTTTTTTTACCTAGGCAAATTTGTGACTTTTTTACTGTGAATTTTTTTCCTGTGACTTTTTTTCCGTGCACCGTTTAAATGAAGGAATATTTAGATATTGTCTGGAAAATGCAAATGAGGATTAGTGATTTCAATGCAAAATGAATAACTATATCATTTTATACTCTTCCTTTTCTCTTCCAGCCCCATGAAGATGGACCATTGTTTTATCCAACAGTTACAACCATTAGTTTGGGTTCGTCTACAGTTTTAGATTTTTATCATCATCTCAACCAGTGTAATCAAACTTCATTAGAAACAACGGTAGGATACAAATCTTCTAAAACCAATAAACTTATCCTTTATGAGAAAGACAGAGAAAGAGAAATGAGGTTTAATGTCCACTTGACACAAACTAGGTCGTTTCAGGACTAACGTATGGTTCAATTTTATTTTAATAATTCGCTTTCGTGTAGGGGTCTTTAGCTGTAGGAGGAAACTGGAGGACCAGGAGAAAACAGGTGACCCTACTCCTTGTCACGTACAACTGGGGAATCGAAACCACGGCTGTTGACTTAATGACAGACCTTATGACACAACGCACACACGCTAACCATTCGGCCATACAACCTCCAATCAAAGAATAATCTTTAAGTGGGATTTAATAACTGGATAGAGTAAAAAAAATTAAAAAAAAATTAATTTGGTATTTATTGAGAAGTGTGTATAATAGAGTATAAAATTTTGTAATTATTTCCATGATATCCTTTTCTTCTGTTTTAATTGACCCACTTCCATTTTTAAGTTTCTTAATTTCTTTATTAGAGGGGTTCTTCTGCTCATACACTTCTAATACACACAGTCATATCTGAGGTGTAAATCACATCACTCTAGTGTGTATTGAGACCTCTAATACACACAGTCATATCTGAGGTGTAAATCACATCACTCTAGTGTGTATTGAGACCTCTAATATATACAGACATATCTGAGGTGTAAATCACATTACTCTAGCGTGTACTGAAACCTCTAATATACAGTCATATCTAGGGTGTTAAAAAAACCTGTATTTTTGAGTAAATGCTTTGGAAACCACTGGACTAGACTAACATGCATTTCGACCAACCAGACACTCCAGACTACCAAAGAATTAAAATAAATATATTCATGTGTATAGTAGTATCATGTAATTCACATATGGTATATAGATAAATAAATATTGACTTTCATGGAAATTTAAATATTTAAATACTATAATATTAAATTGTATATTTCATTGTATATATATTTTATCCATTAAAGATACATTATGGGAGATTCGATAATGAGTTGGCAGTTCTCACTATAATAACTAAAAACTAGATAACGTAAAGGCAATTTGCTGAAAATTTCATTCAAATTGATCCACTATGAACCGAGAACTAAGCGAATGAAATTTCTGCCTAGCCTCGGTCATCATTACTAAAGTCAGTACGATAAACAGCATAGTCTCGATTATCCATTTAATCGTTTAATCGAGAGGGAAAGTTATGCAGTAAATCGGCTCACAATCCACATAAGATCGCAGGCTAGCGATGCCATCTAGAGTTGAATATGGTCTGGATTAGTTAATTAATTTCTCATTGATAATTTAGAAAACATTTCAGGCCTAAAGAAAGGCCTGCAATAGACAGATTCAGCTCTTGTATAATGTATGTTTAATGAATGTAGTTATAATATTTGTAAATAAAGTTTTTTTATAACAAAAAATAAAAAAAATAAAAATAACCCATGTTTGGTTCTATTTTTCAGAGTTCCAGTCTAGAAGACAGACATTTAACGTCAATATTCCTGGAACCTAGAAGCATGATAGTTGTAAAGGATGCTATGTATGAATCCTATCTACATGGTATTGACGAGAGACAGGAAGACAGAATAACAGATAAAATAGCCAACTTATCACACTGCCAGGATATAAACACCGGGGATATTAGATCCAGAACAACACGTGTTTCATTGACTATCAGAATTGTACCGAAAGTTTTAAAAAATAAACTATTTTTCGGTAAAAAGGCTTGAATACATGAATTGTCTAAAATCTAGACTAAACTGTAAAAATTGGAGATACTAAGTTAAGAACCTAGAACATTGATGTGTCATGGGTCCGTTTACACATTGGCGTGCACATAAAAGAACCCATCAGAGTTTGAATTATTTCGAATAAGAGGAGGCCGTAGTGCTGCTTTTCGGCCAAAATGTTACTATTGAGACCAAGTAACCACCCCTATGGTTCGCAAAACAAAACAATGAAACGGGGTTTAAAGTACGGAAAAAAACCCAATAACAATTGTAATATGACAAGAGCTTTATGTTAACTTGAATAAAACTTCTTTCCGACGAGATAACGATCGGCGAACAACTATATAGGCAATACAATCAATGTTCTACCAATTTGCTCAGACTTATTTTATGCTGCATACTTATTTTGTTGAAATTGATTGTGCGGTGGAATTGTGGATGGCACCCTAGGTTGGACCCGCCCATTCACAGCTTTTAGATACGCTACTGATGCCTGTCTACGTTAGCCTGGGTTATAAAGAAACGTAAACGTTAAACGACGATTTCGTTACATTTCGCTTTGTAAAACCGGACCCTGAAGGTTTGAAAAACCAAAAGTTAATTCCTGTTTTGTTAATCATTATGTTTGATTGTTTTTTGACATTGTATATAAATGTATAGGTAATTGTTTAAATATATATAAAAATGAAATTATTACGTTTTTTTTTCTTTTTTTTGTTGTCCAGAGTTGCTAGCACACGGTGGCTAAGTGGGTAGGACGTTGGCTCGCTAGTCTGGAAGTCGCGTGTTCGATCCCTGCATTGGCCGAGAAAGTTCATCGGGATGTTCAAGTGGTTTCCCCTTGTCAGTGGTGCAGGATCAAGGGCCTGACAAGGACCATTTGGATGGGATGAAAAACCGAGATCCCGTGTATACATTGACGTGCACGTAAAGGAACCCTTGGCAGTTAGAATTCGATATGAGTAGCCCATAGTACTGCTGCCCGGGCAAAAATTTCCCTCGTAGCACACTGTATGGCGTATGCCCATCTTCATTAGCCCAGTCGGAGCAGAACAGTGGGACTTAAACCCCATTTCATTTCATTTCTTTACCCAGAGAACGGCATTTGTAACTTTACCTTACCAGAACAGCTCCCCTGAAAGAACTCTACTTGCCGATCTGACGCACCTTCAAGAAAATGGTCCACATAAATTTTATGTTCCACCCAAATTAAGAAAAAAAAACAACGACTTGTTTTATAAAAACATTTTAATTAATTAATAGATAAATTACGTTAATATGTACATGGATTAATTACAATATGATTCTCAAAACCGACCATCTCTCTCTGAACATGTTAGCAAAACAGATTAAATCTGTTTCCAGAATATGACCACACTTTAAATGGTAGATTTGAATTTTATATTTGCAATAAATAAAATATTTATTGGTGGATAGATCAAGGTTGGATACTCTCCAAACGAATAATCATAAAAAGTGGAGTATAATGTCTTCATAAATCTCTGAGATAATTTTAAATTCCCAATAGTAGATATATTATAGTTTAAATTTGTCACACAGATGTTAAACCTCAGTTTTCCCCTGAAACAGATTAAATGAGATAAGTCGCTAATATTTGGGACCAAGAAATTTACACAAATGGGTCGCAACGCGTATAATAATGTAATATGAATGTATATAAACTGAAATAATTCAATCGTTTCTGTTTTTACTGTAATGTCTAATCAGTTCGTGTTTTCAATGTGGAAGACTTTGGATGATATTGAGTTAGAGACGTAGCTACTTTAAGACAATCTGTAAATTTAAATTATCCATTTTGTTTCAAATTAATGGCCTAATGGATGCCATCTGTATTTTATGGCCGTCATAAGTACATATAAATAGTTTTGACTGGAATGGTATTCAATATAAGCATGCTAGTATTGCCGCCATAAATACATTTTAAAAAGTTTTGTATGGAATGATCTTCAAAATGAGTTAAGTAAGCTATATGGCCATCATAAGTACATTAAACATAGTTTTGTATGGAACGATCTTCAATACGAGTTAAGTAGGCTATAAAATTAAACATAGTTTTGTATGGAACGATCTTCAATACGAGTTAAGTAGGCTATAAAATTAAACATAGTTTTGTATGGAACGATCTTCAATACGAGTTAAGTAGGCTATAAAATTAAACATAGTTTTGAATGCAATGATCTTCAATATGAGTTAAGTAGGTTATATGGCTGTCATGAGTTCATTAAACATAGTTTTGAATGGAATGATCTTCAATATGAGTTAAGTAGGCTATATGGCCGTCATGAGTTCATTAAACAATGGGGGTGCTCTATTGTTAGTCCGGAACGTCCCGAATTGGCAGAATTGCAATAAAGTAATATGGAATTAAGCCCTGTCACAGTTCTGACAGCTGAGGTGGTGTGAATAGAATAGGGACGTACATGTATTTTAAGTAACACATAAGTTTCACTAAATTCTCCTTTTCACTCGATTGACACTATTTTCGGAATTGAGAGAATTTAATTCCGGAACGCTCAATCGAGTATCCCCATAGTTTTGACTGGAATAGTCTTCAATATGAGTTAAGCAAGCAGTTTTGACTGGAATAGTCTTCAATATGAGTTAAGCAAGCTATATGGCCTATATAAGTTAATTAAACATAGTTTTTATAAGAATAATATGGTGATACTGTTCATCAGAACGAATGATTATGAAAACAAAATGGTGGATATATATGCAATGAAATGATACAATCTGATTAAAATACAGATCTATATTTCGTTTCGTTTTTTATACTTTCGATGGCCTATACTACATGAAGATCAGACCAGTTGTTTTGGGAGGTCGCGTCAGAGGTCATACGAGCGACTTTTGACCCTCTGACGTCAGATATTTGATTAACCAATCAGCGTTGATGTTTCTAGTGGATTACCCACAGTTCCATGCATCTCACGCCAAAAGCTCGCCGTAACAGACCGTTTCATTGGCTAATCCCCCACATCATCCTGAACACGTCAATGCTAACAACTCTTCCAGATCCCAGTGTAGTAAAGGCAAGTAAAACGAAATTTTGAACTATAAAAAACGAAACGAAATAGGATCTGCGATATCACCTCGGTGGAAGCGGACGTTAAATAATGCTATTTCATACATACAGGATCTGTGTTTTAATCAGATTGTGAAATGATTGGATCCTTTATTTCTTAGGAATCCCATCTAATCCAATAATGCACAAACTGATCTCAACGACACTGGCGATCTTTTGAGAAAAAGTAAACCGGTGCACGAGATGCTCTGCTTAGTTTCTTTAATTTGCATTCATAATGCAAAAGGTCGCCCGCATTGTACATGTATGATTTTGGCGGTATCAAAGACACATGGTGTTCCAGGGTCGCTTTAGATATCTAGGACATCTTTAGGTCGAATTTTCAATTTAACAGTTTTTAAAGAATAGCTTGCGCCAGTCCATGGTTTCCATGCTATGCCGTCAAATTGTTTTGGCGGGACGGCGCCATTTTTGTAAAATCGTCCATTTAAATTCGACGAGTAGCACTTATAATACCACCCGGCACCATGGAAACGGTTAGCACAACTTCCGCCGAACTGCTTCACAACTTTGTCATTGTCAACATCATGGGTACTGAATTTCATTTCATTATGTTTTGAAAGTCCGTCTCCGGCATCACCATCGTAACCATCAACATGTAGTCTATAACCTTCAGCTTCCTCATCAACCCAGAAGTCTTTATACAGTGCTGTTCTCTTTTCATTCTTCCAGTCGGTGAGTTCCACCAGCAGGGAATAATGAGCCTGATTGGTGAGGAAGTGTATGTTATCGTTTCCGAGATAGTATTCATCTAAAGTAGCTGAATAAAAAACAATCAAATATGTAATATGGGGCACAAAATGACATTCATAACATTTTATAGGAGTCAGGGATTTTTATCCGTGTGATGTTGGGGGGAGGGGAGGTTTGTCATAAATGCAATGCAGGCGAAGCCCAGAGCTATATAAAATTTGGAGGCCCCTTGCTATGTGGTTAATAGGACACCAAATAATGAAAAACACATAATTTATGCCTTTCTATCAATTCTAAATATATTAAAATATATGCAAAGGTCAGAATATTTAATCATGATCCTACGGGTCGTGAGGGCACGGACTGATGCTTGTTCGACATTGCGCAATTGGTATTGTGCTAGAAAGAATAATGCCTGCCGAGCCAACTGAGGTGATGTGGGATAAATGAATTCCTAGAGGTCAACAAACATTCTATTTGCTAAACATAATATTAATATTGCTTACTTCCGAACCCTTCTTTGTAGGTCTTCCAATCCTGGAAGAAATCAAGCCTGCCACCTTCTCGTATTTGTATGATAGTCCAACCTCCATTTTTCATATCACAGTAGACTTGGACATAATACTTTAAACCAGGCAAGAAAATCTTATAAACCGCATTCCTCTTGACGCCTTTCTGATATAATTCAAAGCAATCTGAAATAAAAATTTAAATGGCCATAGGCATCGTAGAGGAACACCGAAATATGGAAGGTAGAGGGGGAGGGGCTAATGTGCGCTCGACACAAACTAGGACATTTCGGGACTAACATATGGTTCAATACCACGAGGTTGGACAGATTACCCTACTCCTTTTCACGTACAATGGGGGGGGGGGGAATTTAAAATCTCAGCTACAAAATACTTCGTTCAATTCCAGACTTGATCTTTATTCGATGCATACGTGTATAGCCTGAAAAGGAGAATTTTGCCTGGGGACACTTTATTTTGGTCTATTTCGAACTGCCAAGAGATCTCTAAAGTGCGTTCCTACTTTCCAATTTCTACTCGGGGTCTCGGTTTATCGTCCCCTCCGCACGACTAAACACGCTTTCCTTGTCCTCCTCGTAAGCGGCACCCCTGACAAATGGTGGGTTGGGGCAGGAGGGGGCGGGAGGGAAGACTATACGTTTTTTGTCAGCCAACGCCGGTATTCTAACCCGTGGAATTCTGATGTTGAAACGAATGTGAGAACCATACAACCCACTTTCTGGTAGTGATGATAAGACCCCTAAAACTGGTCTATAAAGGCGGATATTTCTGATTTTATTCTTCGGAACTCACCTTTCGGTTTTTTAAGTCCGTTTGATTTATATTTAATTGGTCGACCCTCGTTTTTCTCCTCCTCCTCATCATCATCCTCGTCGTCTTTGGCGGGAGGTTTGGTTGACGCATCCTCTTCATTTATCGTCTTTTCTATTTTCTTTTCACTCTGCTGCTCCTTGACCGCTTTCTCCATATCCTTTCCGTCGACGTCTTTAGTGTCCGCCGCTTCATTTAGCTTTGATTGTTCTGGCTTGTCCTTTTGATTTGCCGTCTCCTCGCTTTTTTGTTCCTTATCTTCCACGCTCTTTAGTTCCTTATCCTCCACGCTTTTTAGTTCCTTATCCTCCACGATTTTTGATTTAACTGTTTCTTGTTTGTTGTTGCTACCCTGCCCATCACCTATCAGACTATCATCAATTCGTGGCTGAACCGGTATATTCGGTTTCTTCAGGAGTTCACCATCAGGGAACTTTTCTAAATAATCCATAAAGTAACCCGCAGTCTTTTCCGAAATGTATTTGGGACATTTTCTCCAGTAAATTGTAGAAAATGGCGGACAAGGAGACAGAAGAA